AACTAAAATGAAACCCTTGAAAACTTCAATGTTTTCCCATTTATCATGGTGTTACTTACTGGCCCAGTTGTGAGGATTTTTGTTATCTTCATGTTGAGGTGTAATCCATACTGAAGTCTGTATTCTATAATCTTCATAAATCATCTCTTAGCAAACAAGGTTATATAATCTGCATATCACCAAGTTGTTAATGAGTTTTTCTGCAGTCCTGGTGCCACATTCTTCTTTATATAATCCTTTTTTTTTGTTTTTTTATTGCATCACAATATACAAGTTGAGTAAGTATGGTGAAAGGATACAACCTGATGCACACCTTTGCTGACTTTAAATCATTCAGCATCCACTTGTTTTGTTTGAATGACTGCCTTTTGGCGCAGGTTCCACATGAGCGTAATTAAGTGACCTGGATGGAGCACTATCACTAAGAAGAAGAGACAGGAACAAAAGTGCATCACACAGACTCAAGGTCCCTCCATTTAGAATCTCCTAGACCTAAGAGATAGAGAGAGAGCAAGAGCTGTCACAATGGAGAAGGCACGAGACAGTGAGAAATAGGAGCAGAGAAACAGCTGTAGCAGAACCAGGAGACCAGAGCGAGGCAGTTGTTAATAGGCTTCCAGTCCACAGTGTAAAGCAGTTAGAGGAGGTGTGCTGCCTCATGGAGTGAGAGAGTGGAGTGTCATTTGGTAGGAGCCTTGCTGACAGCATGGAGTGCCTCTGAGCACTTACTGACAGAGCTACTCTTAATCCATGGAGCAAGTTGAGTGCCTTTGGACTGACAGGCAGCATGAGACGTCCCTGTGAATTTATTGGTGGCGCTGAAGAATTTTGTAACACTTGCCTGAATAAGGTGGAACCTGAGCTGAGACAAGGGGCAAAAGGTCAGGGAAAGGTCTGCCTGTGGGCATGGTTGAGAACAGGCTGTCCTGATCAAAGAAATGTATTTTGAGTCCTTCCATATCTTGAAGAATAACTTGTTAACTTCTCTGATAAACCCCATAACTCTGAATGTTGTCTGCTCAGAGTTATGGGGTTTATTATGGGTTCTGAGTGGCCACTGCAATCAATGACTGAATCCAGCAGAAGAACAAAGAGTGCCATGAGAGGGATGTTGTTATTTTTAAGTGTCGTAGAGTCAGTTCCGACCCATGGTGACCCTCTAAAGGGTTTCTGAGGCGCGGCTGATGAATGTAAACCACAGACTTTGCAGTTCAAACCAACCTTGCAGTCCAGCGCATTAACTCACAGTACTATACCAGGACTCTGAGGTATGGTTTATGTCAAAATTAATAAAAAGTCTGGAGGGTAGAGAGACATCTGATCTCTGATTCATAGGAAACAGACTTGGGCTATTGATCTTTATTCTCCTTCTCCTCTATGAAGTTAAGAGGAGGTCAGACGTCTCTGCCACACAACTTCTATAGTTGATACAAGAGATGAGAATATGATCAAGTAAGGGACTTCAGCCACTTAACTTTGATACAGTTTTATAACTAGGCATATATAGAGCTAATTCTACATAGTCCAGAACAATGTGTTGATAGCGTGTGAAATGCAAATTTCAAGAATCTTCTAAAAATTTGCTTTTCTGATGATTCTGAAAGATGGTTACAATTCATCATAATTATGACAAAATATTCATCTACATGAGAACCACAGTCAGGGCTGGAATATATGGGGGATCAGAACACTGGTATGAACTTCTTAAACTGAGCTCTTTACATCTCCTAAAAATAAAAAGTGCCCTGAGATCCTGTTATCTTGAAGAAGGCCAGTGCTGTGAATGAAGTATTTGGATTAATAATAGATTCAAAGAACGCTCCGACCAATGCTGTTGAAGAGAACTATGTCCTGAACCATTCTAGTGGGCCCCACTGACATCATAGCTACCTGAATTTGTGTATTTTTAAGGAGAGTTTCAGTAGATGGCAGAAAAGGGCACCTTTGCCTAATCGGCATGAGGGTACCCTAAGGACAGCCAGCAGTGTGACTCCAGAACATCTCCTCCAGGTGTGGAGAGTAAGAAATGAAGCTCATGCTGGTGAACAGGTCCTAATTTAAGAGATAAGAATGTAATCAGGTAAGTAAGGGATTCAAAGAAGAGTTACCTTGTAGATCCCAAAGAAGCCCAGGTCCCGCATGACAGACAGAGCACTGACTCGAGGACCAGTGGTGATTTCTCCAGCCACTTGCAAACGGATCTTGACTATTTCTAATGGATTGGTGAAAATCACCTGGGAGCCTCCTGCCTGAAAAATAGAATAAGAAAACATTAAGATTCAAGAGTTTGAAGGGGCAGAAAGTACAGCAGAATGGTAAGGGAAGTTAGGAAGGGCCAAATGATTGTTCTCAAGGAAGCTCAGTATATTCTGCCCTCAGGACACTCATTTCATTCCTTGTTTGCCAACAGTTTCTTGCTCAGATGCATTGGTTAAAGAGGCTCAGAGCTTAAGCATGGAGGCTGAAGGAGGGCGAAGATCAGAGGCAGACTTCTGTATGTCTCATTGTCTTCACTCTGAAATGACAGACTGGGTACTACAAGTCACTGCTACCCAGGGCACAAAGTCAGCAATAAAATGGTGTGGAGCTGTGGGTTAATGCTCTGGGCTGCAAAGTTGGTTTGAACGGCAAGGTTGGCAGCTCAAGCTCACCAGCCACTTCTTGGAAACCCTATATAGGGTCGCTATGAGTCTGAACATACTCGACAGCATTTAAAAAAACAAAGAGATACAAGTCTACCTTAAATAAGCGAAGGAGAAGAAGGATAAACATTCTCATGTGATGGTTTCTTTCTGTTAACAACTGATCTTAGACTCAGGGCAATCATCAAATACTATTTCATGGAGTTACATATTCTATTAACTTTATACATTGCCGCTTTTCCCATATAAGACAAAAGGTCAGTTATAATAGTAAAGATGTGCATTAAATCGTTTATGTTCCAAACTTTGAACGACTTGTGTTATTTTATTCCAGCAGTGGCTGGCTGCCACACCTTTGAGAACATCAGTGGAAATCTCTAAAGAGTACTATTAGGGGAATTCCAAGCTAGCTATGTTGAGGCTATGCCTATATTTTAAAAAGCAATTAAATTCTTTCTTACTCTACTTCAACTTGCTATTCCTTGCTACAAATGTAAAATTTTTATTTTGAAACAGATTAACATGAAGCAGAGTGGTTCAGTATACTTAGGTAGTGATGGCACCAGAGCCAGATAACAGAGTGTCTAATTGTATTGTTTTGTAGATACATCATGATAGCAGGTACAATCTGGGTTAATATCATGCAAAACTGATTGCTAGACTCCTTGCATCTATGGACCAATGTATGGTCTTTACTAATTTAAATTAGCTTACAAGGACTTTCTTTACAGTGTTGTTCACATAATTGGGAATGAAAATTAGAAACCTAAATATCAAAGGTACAGGAAGGATTAATTATATATGAGTGTGTTCATATCATGATACTATGCAAGCAATTAAATACGGTGGGAAAAATGTCTAACACAATACTATTAAATAAAAACCTTAATATTTAAAAATACATGTATAGCTTTTCCCTATTGCCTACTTCTACTAAGAGACATACCAAAATGGTGCTTTTGTATGTAATGGAAAAAAAATTTTTTGTAACATATTTAATTTTTTCTTTTATGTGGATAATTTGTTACTTCTAGAAAGGGAAATATACTTGTGCAACTTATATGCATAGCAATAATAACAGGAAATATAAAAATTTAAAAAGTGTCTATCTATTAACTTTTTAAATCAAATTGACTTTCCATTTTTCCAAACCTGATGTGCTAAATCAAGACACACTTGTTCTTAAAAGCATATAAGGACTTCTCCTGTCCCCACACATTTAAACTGCTAACAGAGCAATATATTCTCTGGACTGCCATGTTTGTTCTACCATGTTTTGTTCATCTTCTAGATAACTCTAGAGAGATAGGCTAAACCATCTGTCCTGGGTTTGAGAAAGGACCTTCTGAAGTAGAAAGCAGAGCACCGACCATACCTAGAGGGCAGAAGTGTGTTCCTCTGGTCCAGTGAAGGCGTTTGGTTCACACTGTTCTAGCACTTACAACAACCACAAGACGCACAGTTGCAACCTGCAGGTCCATGGGAAGAGCAACCCCTGCCCGTCTAAAGCACTTTTTGTGGGTTTGACTACTTCTTCCTATGTGACTCATAAGGAGTTCTTTAATGTTGGCAGAATACAGAGAAGAACACCACACTCAGGGCATAGTCAGGATTAGAAGACAGGTCATCTCTGTGCTTCTAGACCAGAACCCTCTTCACAGGGAAATGCAAACACTAGAGAGAGTTATAAAATTTAAATTTAAAATTATTTTATGTGGCCGAGCTACTGAGAGTTACTGAGTTGGAGCTGCCTGAAGACTGATTTTAAAAAACAAAACCAACAAAAAACAAACTCAAAAGTGGGTAAGACCATCTCCACCAAGGGTAAAATGGGAGACCATCAGCATATACCACTCTTCTTGAAAAGCAGATGGTCATCCAAATATTACCAATAGTGGATTAGTCCCTTTATTGTAAAATCACCTCTCTTCTTATGAGGATCAAAGAGCTGGTGAATGGGAAGCTTTGTACTCAAGACACAGGAATTAATCCAAACATGCTGGATTATTGCCCTCTTCTAAACTGATGGTTCTCCTCCTAGTCTACATGTTAGAATCACTGGAAGAACTTTATAGAAGTCAAGGTGTGTGGATCCCATTCCACATAAATCAGAATTTTTGCATTTGTCCTTTATAAAAATTTTCTTATGTAATTATACAGTATAGTCAGGATTGAAAACCACTTCAATATGTCATTTCTGGGAATTTTGAGAGGTTACTTAATGTTGTGATTTCCAGTCACACTTTTCCATATTGTTTCAGATAGTAACTATGAGCTACCTATTAGATGATTTGCATGAGATCCTACAACATATTTTTATACAGATCCAAGCAGTATCATTATTAGATGGTAAAAATTTAGGTACAGAATCACTATTTTATTGATTATGTTAGATCATTATTAATGCCTGTAAAAGTTAATGTTTCATGCAATAAAAGGAGAACTTATAGTCAACTCCCTATAAACCAATCAAAAGATTCTTTTAGCACAATAAAGTGGGTTTCAATCACTAAAGATGGTGCAAAAGTCAAATCCTCTTCAGAGAGCTGCAGGAAATGGAACCACTGAGAAGAAAGAGAGTAGTCATACTATGAAAAAATAATGATGTACCTGTTTATCTCTGATGTGCTCAGGACAGAAAGAACCTACAGATTCAAAGTGGCACATTGTCAAGATGCAGAGGATGAATCTGGTCCTTTGGAGTCAAGCTGTAAGGAAATGAGAGACTCCAAGGCACCAAGGGAAGATGCTTATCAGACACATGGTGTCTGGGCATCACCATGACTTGATCACTGAACAGCATACTGCCGGCTGCTACTCTGACTCTCAGTCTATTATCCATTCACAGTACCTCATCCATGTTCCTACTTCGCAGAGATCAAAGTTAGCCGATCTGGCAGACAACGGACAGGCACACCTATTGTGTGCAATGTCTTTGTGTCCCTCATCACTTGAAGAGCACTCTGGCTGTGTGAAGATACTGGGTTTTGCCTGTGTGTGTAATTTTGTTGCAAATCATTTCTCTCTGATTCTCTGGAGTCTGTGGCAGGGAAAGATTCTCCATACTAGAATTGGTTCAGTATGGCATCTTGTATTTGTCATGGCAACACTGGTGTCTTCACAGGATTTTTCTAGTATTTTTTGTTATTGAGATCTTAGTTTCTACCTAATACCTGGATCCCTCTAAAGAAACACACAGTTATTACGGATGTATTAGCATAAGCACTGGACTGACAACCAGTAGGTCAGTGGTTCAAAACCATCAGCCACTCCTTGGAAACACTACACAGAGTTGCTATGAGTCAGAACTTACATGATGGTACTTAATAATTTTAGCATTTGCTTATTTATTTATTTTGCAAATATTTATAAGCAATCATGTTCACAGTTTATCCTAGGAAGTCTTGGCACACTGGATGAATTCTCTAGGACCTTGAAGTAGGAGATACCCAAACCCATTGCTGTTAAGTTGATTCCGACGCATAGTGACCCTAGGACAGAAAACTACCCTGTGGGGTTTCCAATGCTTTAAGTTTTTACACAAGCAGACGGCCACATCTTTCTCCCATGGAGTGGCTAGTGGATTGAAACTACTAACCTTCTAGTTCTCAGCTGAGTGCTTAACCACTGTGTCACCAGGGCTCCTGAAATAGGGGCTAGAAGTCATGAGTATTCATGAAGCATCTATTCTGGGCTCTCATGGTTTTGCTTTGCCTAAATTAGATATATTATTAAGTTCACCCATGAGGTAGTTGTGTTCAGGTTTTATGTAAGGAAATTGAGGCACAGAAAGATTAAAGCAACATAACTAGGACTATATAGCTGGTGAGCCGAAGAAAGGATTCTCCACCAACTTCAATAACTGTAGGCCTCACAATACAGAAAATAGCACATAAGTAAAGATAATTATGATCTATGATAAGAGCTTTGGTCCAGACAAATCGCATGGAAGTTCAAAGGAGGGTAAGATCTTCCTGACTGGAATGGAAGAGGTTTTGGAGATGTGGTACGGTACACAGACATAATACCTTAGCTGGTCACTGACATGCAATTATTAAGTGCTAGTTAGTCAATTTTGACTCATAGCGACCCTATATGGGTTTACAAGGAGTGGCTGGTGAGTTTGAACCGCTGACCTTGTGGTTCAAACTGACCTTGCAGTCCAGTGCTTTATCCCACAGTGCTACATTAGGACCTGCAATTAGGTCTCAGGTAATTGAGGCAGAAAATGGCACAAAGTCACCGTAACAAGGAAGTACCACATTTATATGGGTAATAGACCCAGTACCACATCTGCCAATATTAGGGCTTGCCAAGTGACATTTTAGTAAGGATGTGTATGGTAATATCAGTATCATTAGCTAGCATATGTTGTTGTCACTGCTGTTTAGTGCTGTTGAATTGGTTCCGACCCACAGCAACCTTGTATTGGGTTTCCGAGGAGTGACTGGTGATCTAGAACCACTGAATTTGCGTTTCAAACTGACTTTGCAGTTCAGCACATTAACCCTCAGCGCCACACTAGGACTACTATATTGAGTCCTATTATGTCCTGGCGTAGCGCTGTGGGTTAATGTGCTGGACTGCAAAGCCGTCTGAACCACAAG